GGACCAGTGCAAACACTATAAACCCCAAACACCCAATTCCCTCATAAAGTGACTGCTTTTGTATGTTGCCACCAGATTTCACCCAGAGACCTTCAGGCTATAAACAAATAATAAAGTTTATGAACCTCAGCAGAGAAAAACAAAGCAGAGAGAGTGTCAGTGTTCAGTTGGAGTGAAGTGACTCTGGAGTAAAGAAGGTTTGTGTCCCTTTCAAACTTATTAGTTATAGGCATGAATGTGATTACATTATCGAAGGAGAACATACCTCCGCCCTTAAATTCCCCTTTAATCAAATCAAGCTGCACCAAATTGTACGAAGTGAATATATCTGGATATGCCTTTTTCAGCTGGATCCCTGAAATATTAGTGAAAACACCGACATTGAAAACATACCCAGGTAAGAAAGGTGAGTATTTCAATGTGAGCCACAGCAGCATTTCATTTCTCAGAGAACATTTGCCTTGATATCAGTAGCTGTGCCTCAGTCTTGCAGCAAGTTTAATTTTAGAACAAGAGCTTTGACCTTTATTTGGAGGCTTGAAAGTTTTTTGCCGAACAAAATGAGGTTCACGGTGTGGTGGCTACCAATAACCCGTAATCCTTTATGTACCAACAGAACAAAACACATGAACCTACTCTTTTTCTCCCTGGGTATCTCTATTCTTCTCTCTATAAATCCTCCATCTTTATTCACACCTCCTTTCTGGCTTTCTATTCTTCTTTCCTTCTACCATTGTCTTTCTTGACTTTTCCCATTTGGCTCTTGACTCTTCTCTCTTCACTTTCTCACCCACCAGTATGTCTCTGTTCTTCTTCTCTGCTTCTGTGCATCTTTCAGGGGCAGAAATAGTCCGTCACACATGGGAGAAGACCAATTACAAGGGGAGTCGAGGGGACCTTTCCCCGAAAAACTGGGGATTTTAAGAACATATTCCTCCATTTCCACTTAATTTGACATGGTCGTGTAGTTCTTTTGACTGCAACGAAGACGGAAATTAGAAAACCTTTGCTTGGATGATTATCCAACACAATGCATTATTCTATTAGCACATAAGGAAATGGTCTTTCATTTTCTATGCAGCAGACAAACTAAGTCGGGAGGGTTCACTCTTATTGGACGATTAGGAAGCCAAGTCTTTAAAGGCAGCCAGCAGAGTTTATTACCATTATCTCAAAACTTTTGCCTCGTCATTATCAGAACAAAAACTATAAATTCCTTCCTGAAAGTACGGCTTCTTCCAGTTTTTTTTTTACTGAAAAGTCAATGAACCTTTCATTTACTGTCAGAGCTGTGACATAAAACAGGAGCCCTGAATAAAACATAACAGATATATGTACATACCCTGCACACTATGTGGGTACCATGGTATTAGGATGGCAGAGAGGCAGATGATACTGCGCTCTTCTATACAATCTAACTCTATCTCCAGTCCTCCGCCTCTCCCTCTGCCTCTGTATCACCTTCTCATGCACTCTTACATTTGCTCATCAGCATAAAAACACTTCTTCTCTCTTCCCCACCTCTCCTCATCCCCCGCTCCCTCCCTCTTCATCTCCTCCTTCCTTTTGCTGATGAGCATATGAACACATCTTTCTTCTCCTCTGCCGGCTGCTGCCTCCCTCTGTCCCTGCTGCTTCAGCTCAGCCCACAGGCAATTTTCACACAAGGCTGATTGAATTCATTCACTCCCTCCTTTTTCCCTCCACTGTTCTCTGTTCTAGCTAAAGGAAAGGTAAAAAAAAACAACATGGTCTTCACACCACACATGTTTATGTGCATATAAATGAAGCCTGACAAATGAAACACACACACACAGAGGGCAGTACGTAGACATACAGTGTGCATGCAGGCGATGGAGAAACTGAGTTAATATACAACACCTATGTTCTTATATCAAGGAGTAGAGGCACATAGAATATGCACAAGCACCTGAGCAGACACATGTTAATGCATATGCATGTGCCGAGGCAGAACTAAATAGAAACGGATCCAAGCTACTCCCATGATAACTACCTCCGAGCTTATAAAAAGATGAGTAAGTATTCTTATGTGTTTGAAGAAAGCTGTTGTATTTTCTGATATCAACTTTGGTTTGTGGGAAATGGAGGATGATTATTAGCTTGGTGGCAGCAAACATTTTATTAAATCTGCTCTGATGATGGATTAACGTAAAGAGGCTTTGATAAGTACTGTGACAAGCAGCCATACAACCACTACTTTGCAAATAGCCATCTTCAGTTTCTAGGACTATGATGAAGATGAACAAATTAAGATTTAGCTGTCAGCTTCTAATGTGACATGCATGATAAAAATATGTTTATATATGAACAAGAACACTTCTGATGGGCACTTTTCACTATTTGCTACTGAAATTTTCACAATAAAAGCAGCCTTAAGTCACAGTCTATTGATCTAAATGCAGGAAAAGGAGCAGGAGGGCCGTGACCATGCCCATTTGAAGTTTATCCTTGGGACCATTATCCTTCTGGGCCCAAAAAGAAACACACAAATAAAAAGCACACAAACACATTCAAAACAACAGGTTATTAATGTTCAGGTGTTCCAGCTTTGCTCCGAGCATTTCTCCTGCAAACCGCATCCCGCAAGGAGCCATAATCATTAACCGCTCCCCAGCTATCATTTACAGCAGCTGCCCAGTGTCCTCTGGTCAAACAGGATCCACAATCTCGTAACAGTCATTGTATCTCAGGTGATTTAAGTCTCTGCAGCAGCAATACACCGTCAGACTGTGGGTTTTATCATTCGGATGGAACAGCAAACGTCAGAGCAACAGTCCCTAATGGGAGGGAGGGAGGGGGGGGGGTCGAGAGGAGGGGGATCGGGTAGCAATAAATCTCACTCTTATGCACCCTTCACAGAAAACACACGAGTGAGCCATATGATGGATAACTGTGCCTGTGTACGGGGTCTTGAAACGCCTGTCAGGAAACTGAGGTGGCGTGCTCAGTCTCCAGAGAATGTGTACTGTAAATGCTAATAAAGTCCAAACCCAAAGGGAAAGAATGAGAGGAAAGGACCCGCAGTCGACCCACACAGACTGAGGACAAGAGGAGGAACATTCAAACATGAAAAAACGTGGCAGTGGGGTGTCTCTTTTTACAGATCTAATTTATGCAGATTAGTGTCCTCATGTGACCTGGGAGGATAAGAGAACTAAGAAGATAATGCACTATTCTTTCTTTGCACGCTCACATCCCAGCACTCACATTAGATAATGTCATTATCGATGCCATATATAGAAATTTACATGCACCAGTGAATAAAACAGAAGAACATTTGCATGCATGGAATAATGGCAAGCAAATGTGGTATAATGGATTCGGCTCTGCATTGTGCTCCAGCAATGTATTCGTATTTCACTCATCCAACGGTGGTGGACAATTTTTATGCTGCTCTTCCCTCAACTCGCTCGGCCAGCAAATCAATGTCCATTAAACCGACTTGAGTGTTCATATGTCACTGGATCCTCTCTCCATTAATTCTGCTCCTGCACAGACTTCCGCCTCCTCCACTGAGTGGCTTTCAAAACAGGACAACTACCGAGCGTGTTGTGAGCAGGCTCCAGAAGGCTGCTATAGGCAGACGCTCATTACGGTGACACGTCGAACTCCACTGACTTCACAATGTACTGATAATGAACTGAGCCGTGCAGTTGTCACAGGCACTTTTTAAACATTTATTTATAAAGCCATGGTTTGCAGAACCTTCATACTTCTGCTGCTTCACACCTGGATGCTGTCCTTCATAACCACAGGCTTTTTACACCTGGACTGAGTGTTGCCTCTTCAAGGACATGACTGGGGTAGTTTTTCAAGCACAGTGAAATATTCGTCATCCACTTTGCCTTCCAACTTTAAGCACAAGCAAAGAAATACAGCAACAACAAAGCACAGAATATATGTTAACTTATGGCAGATAATTAAGTACTAACAGATTTTTACTGAATAACAAATGCACATGGACCGGCACAGTTGTGTCACTCAGTCCATCCAGCACTATCTAACTACTGACATGTGCTAGGTCAGTTAAATGACAAAAAGTCACTGATTCATTGATACTCAATGAAAATTTCATAACACTTAACAAATCAGTGACAAAAAAGAAATTCTTCGCTTCCATAACTCAGCACAGCTCCTAGAAATACAGCCTTTAAATAACTTCAAAGTCTCCACGACCACACTTCCTCTGTATTTAACACATGTATGAATAATTAATGAGACATTAGGATTTAATGAGCAGCAGAGCCACATCTAGGAAGTATTTGGTGACCATCAACAGCCAGTTTGACTTGAACCCCAGTGACTGCACAGGGAACTAAAAAGGTCCCATCACAAAGTGAAGATGATGAGTTGCACGCATACAACTCTGAACTGAACCAGGTCATCTCCGACTATAGACTTGAGAGAGGCTAATGTCAAACACACAGCATGTAAAGAGGATCATGTCCATACAAGGAGGTGGATTTTTCCTCTTTGTAATAATGAGCTGCCCCCCCCCAAGCATCTGTGACATGCAAACAAATCATGGACCAGTAAGTCAACACAAAGAGACAGAGCAGATTTTGAACCAGCGACAAAACCCCAGTGGGACAGTGAACAAGTCAAAACTCAAATCATCAACCCAACAGATCACTGACATTATGTTGGTAAATGATTTGTGGTTTTGTTATTTATGGGACGTGTTTGACACAACAGGGCCTCATTTACTATTATTTACAGTGAATACAGTGGATATGTGCAGACACAATGTTTTAAATCCAAACGGAAATAGAAATGAGAGACAAAACGGAGAGATAAATAAATATCAATTTGAAAATGCTTGTGTGGATTATTTTATCTAGGCCTGGTGGTCACAACACACACGCAGCCACACACACATACGCAGCCTCTTCATCATTCAAAGGGTTGGGCTGTTTGGGGATGAAGGAAGCAGCGCATCTCAAAAGAGAAGCGGGATAACGGTCCTCTATTAATCTTACCTCCTCTCCTGTCAGGTAGTACGCCGACAGCAGCCCACCGACATAACGGATGTTCACCTCGAAGAGTGATGCCTCGCCGTTCTGTTGAACCAAGAGAGAGAGATTGAATTGTTAAATGTTGTATTCAGACGAGGTCTCCGGTCACAGCACTGACGTTTATGGACACAAATAATAGTCTGTAGTGGTCATAACTTGTTAACTTGTTTTTCTTCCTCCGGCCATGTTGTTTTTTATGAGTAGAAATTACTTAACAGCTGGCAGAGCCGGAAGACCAATTGTCTTTTGAAGCCTCCTGGGTGCACTGCAGCCTAGATGTGTGGATAAATATTTCAGGTCCAGCTGTGAGATGTCAGTGAAAGATAAGCATGTGAACAAAATTTATTTCAGCCAATTTGCAATGCATGTTTGTTTTATAGGTTTTATAGATGCAAAAACATCCAGAAGACGAAGGTTGAAGTCAATTATATCCCAGTGCAGTTATCAGTACTTTGTTCTGTTTATTATCAAGGTGTCAGTCCTGTTAATGTCATTTCCAGTTAACATAGAAGTTGTAGTTGGGCAAGACTCAAGTGGATCTTTAAATGTACAAAAGGATAAATTAAGCAGATAAAATCTTTCCAAACACACCAACTGATTGAAATATTTATCGGTCACAACTTTGATTATACCTTTCTTATCAAAAGAGAAAATGTAGATTAATACAGGATTGAAAATAAAAATGATGTCCCTGACTTTAATTCCATCGCCACAGGTGCAGCAACAGCCACACAGGGATCGACACCAGACCCTTTTGACGGAATTGAAGATGTGTGTGGTGACTCAGAGTAACCAGGCCTTGGGCGATGGCGGCTGTAAACAGGTGGCAGTGTTTCAAGGCATATGGCCATCCACCATAGTTCTGATCTACTGGTAGCTAGTCCCGTCACAAGAGATATGTCTGATGGTTTTTAATCTTCACATGATGACAGCTTTGTACAAACGTATCCCTGCTTTAATAAAGTCGTTAGCTATGGGAAGTCGAGCTACACAACGCCAAACACATGATGTATAATGTAATAACTGATCAAACTGCTCTTGTTTTTGAATTTGACTATTGCCATTCATTATTCTAAGAATAAGGCTGGCAATGTTTCTATAATGCATTTATATTATATTGGTAATCAATCTCATGAGATGGGATTTTCAGCCCAAAACTCAATAGTTCCTATTCTTAATCTGCAAAGATTTAAAGTAAATGTCAATCTTTATAAAATATCAATTTATAAAGTCAGGTTTTTAGCAATTGCAGATATACAATAGCATGATACTCCTTTAGTCCTTTTACATTAAAACACTTTTATCAAATTACAACAATAACAACCTTTTTTTCTGGCATCTCATATTCTACCAGTTTTCTGGTGCCAACTGAGGCAGATTTCCTGAGAATTCCCATAAGAACAGCAAATGTGGTTGCTAGGAGATATTGAGACAGATGTACGAAACCTCTCCTGATTGACTGACTGATCGTTGAACTGTGGTGTATCTATAAATCTATAAATCTGACAGTATAATACAAGGCTGATAACAAGTCAATACAGTGAAAGATCAAATCAACATTAATTGCCAACGTCAAAGCGTCACTGAGAGTATAATAGCATTATCATCACTGCCAGATCACCAACCCAAGTCCTCAATCTTAATTTCTCTCATTTTACACTTGATTTTTGTTTTGTTTTACATTAACTGACTCTTAAACCGGAGGACTTCAGTAACTGTCTCTCCAAAGAAATCCACGGCCGAGAGGCCAGCCTCAAAATCTCCGGCCAAAGAGTCAAAGCCATGTAATCTTGTTCCCCAGTGTTTTGTTTCCAGTTGTCTGACAGTATCTAACAACTGAAAAACAATATTGATTAATGGAGAGTAAGTTCACTGGCTCAAGTTGATTTTGATTTCAAACCATTTTGTTGTACGGCTTTGAAATGTCATGTGTTGCTCGGTTGCTCCTTTTTATTTTTCTTGCCATTTATAGTTTTAGTTTGGAGACTGTTCTGGACTTGAGAAAACCACAAAACAAGAGAATCATCACAGCTGAGTACAAACTGTGGATGGAAACAATTTTCCCTCTTGAATTGCAACTTGGAGTTATGATTGAAGTAGTGCTGTGATTATGTATATTTTGTGCAGTTCATTCCAACCACTCTGACTTCTACCCAGCCTTTATTAGTGACCTGAAAATATACTTTTTTGATGAAACAGTATTTACCCTTTTTGAACTAATGTATATTTTACATCAATTCCCTTTTCATGATCTTAGCTCTTAGCCACAGCTGCAGAAATAAATATTCTGTTGCTGCAATTATAAAACCATAGGAGGAGAGAAAATGTGCCAAGTTGCGGTTTCTGTTTGCCAACATTACGTATACTTGGTCTACTTCTATTTACAAATGAAATATGAAATAAGAGGTAACACTGCATGTGTCTCAATATGTCACCATAATTACTGCCTCTTACGCTGAAGGTTGCAGCAGACTGCTACTCATCGACTTGGAGACCCATTGAGAAGGAAATTGCTATCTCAAGTGTGGATGATAAGGAAACTATAATTGGGTGCTGGAGAGAGCAATTAGCTCCACTCTGAGGAACAGCATAGAGAGGAGAAGTCACTGGCATCCGTTCACTGGATCATTCATCTCCACGTATATATCTGTGCTTCTAAATATTCATTGACTTAATCCCATTTAGTTTTATTAGACTTACTGTTAATTAATAATCATCAAAATGCTTTTATCTCTTAATCTACATCTCAGACGTGCCAGTAAAATTCTGCTTTAAAAAAATCTTCACATCTCAGCAGCTTGGTAACAAGAGCTGATGAATTGTGTCCTTTAAAGGAAGAGTTTTACATTTTGGGAAATATACCTTTTCTCTATTTGCAAAGATACTCATGAGAAGATTTATTGACATTGACTCTCATGTCTAGTAAATAAGATTTAGCCAGAGGTTGGTTAACTTAGCTTTACATAAAAGCAGTTGTGACTACAAACCACTTGAATTAAACACAAGACAAAATGCAGTGTCTTCACAACAAGAACGTTCTGGGTTCAAACCTGACGGCATGGGCCTTTCTTTGTGGGTCATTAATTGGAGAGATGACAGTAGGTGTGAATGTGAGCATGATTGTTTGTCTAAAGGTGTCAGCCCTGCTATACTGTATGCTACCAACCTCTATATGACGTACCCTGCCCCTCGCCCAATGTCAGCTGACTGGCTCCAGCCAACACTCAATGGTATAGATAATGAATGGACAGTCCCCGGTGGAGACATGTGCATTTTGTTTATTTTCGACAGCACCAAAGCTCAGCTGCTAGTTTTTACTTAACATGGGCATGAGTGAGGTAACAATGTTCTCATGTAACTTTTGGCAACATTTTAAACTATCCCTTTAACCCCCCCTGTCATGTGTTATGCAACTCTGTGAATCAGGTATTAAGAGCAGTGAGTGTTATAACAAAAGGTGCTGGCTCCGTTCCTTGAAGTCAGCACACTGGTGACATTTCATGAGACAAAGCACCGACGCCTCTGGCAGGGCGGTCGAGCTGAGCTGTCTTGCCAACCCTGAAATGAGAGGCCCATTCAGTAATGGTGCTAGGATGGCAGTGATTAGGAGTGGAGTGTCTATTTATCACCAGTGATTGTGGCACTCAGCGAGACAGGCAGAAGGTACAGTGAGGGAGGACAAGTAATGCTGACAAAGGTTTTGCAAATTAGACTTTTACCTCCCAACACAGCCTCAATAAATCACTCACCATGCTTTGTATAAAACTTCTATTCATGCTGTTTTGTAGATCCAAAAAGCTGCCTTTACACATAAAGCAACCCTCCGGGCACCAATTCAAAGAACAGCATCTTGTAGATTTTTTTTGTATTTAAATCTGATGTATTTCTCAGCAGCAACTAACAAATAGTTTCATTGTAAATGGGGCAACTGCTCAGATTTACATTTCTATTAAATCCACAGAAAAGAGTCAAACCCTGAGGCGCTGAACACTCACATTAAACAATAACACTAACACTGACATAAACCTGATAAATCATTAAACAAGATATCAAGGAAGATTAAAAACCATGTCAGAGTCCTCCAAGGGCCTTTTCTTACAAGTTCTGTATTTATTTTAACTGCACAGAAGGTGAGGATGAAAAACAGCACTGAAGATTGGGTTTGACTTTTGAATCTCACTGCAGACCGAGTTAGATCTAAGTGGCTCTTTTCAGCTAAACATTTTAATTTGTCCAAATCAGCAGTAAATTGCTTTGTTTTAAGTCATTATCAAAGTTTATATTCTGATTAAATCACACGATAATAACACTGCAAAGTTATCAGGGCAGTGCACTTGGGCCATTAATTTTAGAGACACACTGTATCTGACTGATGTGGATAAATGGAATATAATAAAGGCCCCTTTTCCTCTCCATAATTCTAATTAAGGTATGACAAAAAGAGGAAAAACTGCGATTAATTATTGTATCTCAGTTTGAGAAATTGCGTTGATCAAGATCCATCATAAAACAGATACTTTCATCTGACTGAAAGCAAAGGGATATTCATGATGGGGGGGAAATCAATATAGATAATTATGGTAAATGTCAACATAAATTATTCCTTTTCATCAAAGGTTGAACTTTTAGAACATTTCGCAGTCTGGAGATGAGTGTGACTGGTGGTGTTACCTCAGTTTAACACAATTCTTTTATAATTTTACAGCTTGCTGCATGATTACATAACTCCACATATGCACGGCAGTGTTGATGCTTAATAGATAACCTAAGTGGGCTGCCCCTACCTATACTTCTATACCTGTACTAGGAATGAAACGGTTCAATTCTTTGATTTTGTTGCTGCTGTAATATCATTATGGTTTTGCTACCTGCAAAATGAACGTCCTTGTTCAAACATTATATCATCTTCAGCTTCTTCTTCATCTTTTATTGTATTATCTTACCCAGAAGTTCGAACTATCCAAAAGTTCAGACCGTAGTCTGAGGTTCCTTTCACACCTGATATTTTGGTTTGGACTAAATTGAAAAGTGTTAAAGGACCCTCA